TAACTCTATTGAATACATTTAAATAATAGCCCAAATACCAGATGCTCACAATTATTGCTACAGCGATCCATGAGACAATGAATGGCACAAAGGATTTGTAACTAAGTGGTTCGTATTTACTTGGTGGAATTGGGAACATCGGTGCTACCGCAATAAGAACTGTACATAACAAATAAAACCAAATTAAAATTTCAGGTACTTGAAAATGGTTGAATTGACCTCCCTTGTCCCTTTTTTTCAAAACCTAATTTTGAAATTAGCAAATAATTAAGGTAACTGATTAAATGATTTAAAGTCAAACATTCAATTTAACATACCAATAGGCAAACTGCACTAAAACCATAAAACAGCATAGCTAAATACTGCGACATACATGAAAAAAAATTAAAAAAGTTGTTGCTTATTGGGAAGAAAAGGATTAAAAATGCACAATAACCAAATTGAAAGAGCAAAGCATAAAATGGGGTATCCCATTTTTTATTTGATAGCCTTTCTGATATAAATCCATTTTTAGCAGCATATACTATAGCTCGAGCACCCCTATTTAAAAAAGAAAGTAAATAAAAAAACTCAGTAAAATATTAATTGTAACTGTAAATTTCAATAATCTTACATAAAAACAATTGAATCCACACATCCAAAAGCGGAAAGTGAGATAAGTATTGAAATAATTCTTCTTCCAGGCTCACCCCATAATGTATGTCCAAAATTAAGTGCAATAACATCAAAAGAGTTGATGGCATCATGAGGTGGGACAACTGTTATGAAGGCTGCGTTCATCAAAAAATCTACAATAAAAATGATTGCAACATAAATACTTTTGAAGTATCATAAATAAAATAAATTTTAAAAAAATATATGTATAACTTGCAAAGCATAAAAGTAACGATCACACTAGAAATGATTGGAACTTTTAGTTTTTCTTCTGGAGAATTTAAGTCTTCAGTTAAATCTAAAAAGGTAATTAACAATCAGATTTAACTTCATTTTAAATATTAATGATTTAATAAATCGTCTTACAATTTAAATTATTCCACCCTTTGGACATGTACAATAATTAAACATCTAATTAATAACAGTTTTTGATAAATTAGAAATTACTGTATTCCGCCGAAAAATGAACATTCCTTTTTTGCACACTTCTGGCCAAGATTTTTATAAAGAAAGTAGGCAAAATTGGCAAGAGATGTTTAGTTTGGGACTGCTTATTTTAGGAGGAATACAGTAAATGTCAAGAATTTTATTAACACACCTTCGTATGAAAATAGAACCTATGTGTTTTCGAGTTTCATGTAAGTTTTTAAAAAAAGAATTGGAAGATATATTTTGTACATACCATTATTATAGCATCGCCGAAATTACCAATATACTCTGTAATAGACAGCTCGTATGCTTCGTCTGATGGTGTATTATTAAATGTCCATAGATCACCGGCATTGTTTCGTGACCATATTAAGCCATATATTGAAATGAAAAGTAGAGCAATGCATTTAAATAAGGCAAACCCCATATTTATTCGGATTGCTACTCGATTGGAGCATATTTGGTATACAGTGATAATTAGTAAAAAAGTGACAGATAAAAGCCGCGATGGTCTAATGTATAAATGCGAAATAATGCATAAAAACAAAATAGGGTTAAACTAAACGACATGTGTAATTCAGAACTGAAAAAATCTAACCTACAGAGAATCTACATATGCATCTCCATTTTCATAATTTCCTTTAAAAGTATAGAGGAAGTATTTAGCAGACGCATTGGAAACTGCTATAATTTGCCCGGGAAGGATTACACTTTTAAGAATTTGGATTATTATTAGGTGATTGTTATATAATTTTAAAATTATAGATTTGATTAAAGTCACATCAAAATTTATAATCCTGACAGCTCATTATCTATAAGCGTTGCATTGAAGTAGAATATGTAAAATGAGCTTTAGTTACTAAGCTATCTGAATTATAAATTTCTGGATTTTACAGTATATTGACTGATACACATAATCCGACAGAAGTCACCCAAAAGTTTCCGACAATTCAAAGAAATCGGTATTCAGGACACTAAATACCTTGATTTCGAATTTATAAGTGTATATAGGTTTGATCATTGTTACGTACATGTACTCCAAATTGGAATCGCCCTGATTTAGAATCGAGATAGTTCTGGATGAAAATTATGTCTTAAATTATAATAAATTTTTATATCTGATATTAAATTCTATAAATTTTACGTACGTCGTATATACGTGAGTAAATTTCGATCAGTTAGATTTTTTTTCATGTGATACATAAAGTACCAGCATTACAAAAGCCCAGCCAGTATTAATTTACAGAAGTTTGGCTAACATTAATTTTGTCGTCTCATCATCAGTTTTATGATTAAGTCGATTATATGAAATCTAGTTTAAAAAACTTAATCAAAATTACGCAAAATTATTGTAATTATTGCAAAAATTCCCATCTAGGGCAGCCCGATTCTGAATCTGGACGATTCTAACCCGATTCTAATCTGAGTACATGCAAGTATATAAAATTAATGGAATGAATGATAACTACCCACTAGTGATACCAGACGAAATTGGCGAACCAAGATAATGATTTCATTAGAGTTTGTCATTCATCAATTGCGTCAGGCATCATTTATGCCAATCTATACTGCTTAAGACCACAATGCTAATAAACGAATTGTCGGAATTGAGAATTGCTTTGACAAATGATTTTAAACTTTTGGAATTTCGGTTTGAGCTTTTAAGATTGAGATTGAGAATATCGGAATTTTCGAATGGTTGCCGTTAAGCAATTCATTTGCATGTGTACATACGTTGTCAAAAAAAAACTGAATATATATCCAACTCTATTCTTGTTAACATTATCCTTTTTATCAAACGCCTCTTCGAGATATTTTTGCTCACCCGATCCATCGGGACATCTGGCTCCTAACTATAAGATTGAAACAAAAACAAAATAATTTAATAATATACGTGATAATAGTGGTAATAACCAGTGTTGGACTATGATGTCATACGAATGACATGACTTATATGATTTTTCATGTAACAATCTCATATGAAGCGTCATATATTAATACGTAATATGACATGATTTTCTATCATATGACATGTGATTTTTATGATTCTATATCTCAGAATCAGATGAATTATCACATGACATTATGATATTGTCATCGTCCAACACTGGTAATAAACAGCAGCAAAAGTGGAATTAAAAAAAATGGTATAGTTAATGACCTCAACATAAATCATGGAGCCAAATAAGCTTATAAACGCACCAGCAATCCAAAACATTAAGGCGGATCCAGGCGATAGTGCTAGCCTCCATACACTGCTGGGAATTATAAAAATCCCTTAAAAAAATATAAAAGAATTATGAGCTTCATCACTTAAGATTAATATAAATAAATTTTGCGAAAAATACCAGCTCCGATTATATGATTGATGTTGTATCCAAATCCTGAAGTTGCCCGGATTATTTTCTTGTCCACCTCGACTTCAGGAATATCAGGTCCTACTTTATCGTTATTTTGGTTGCTATCACCCATAATTAAATACTTATACACTCAGCCTTTTAAAAATTGATCTTTTATGGAGACCTACTATAATAAACTTTGTTTTTTAAAAGAAAATTATCTATAGTTCGGATAGAAATATAGCATATTATTCTATACTATATCTGAAATCTTTTATTATATAATCTATGCGAATATTTTATAAGTGAATTTGTCCAAAAAAACCAATGTTAAAATTAATTCGAATTGACAAGGATTATTAAACCTTGTTCATTTTCACAAAGAAATAAATCACTGCGGTTGGTCCATTATACAGTACAAAAGTATTATATTAGTTGAGCCCGAGTGAAGGCGTGCATTTAGGGGCCTTTAGGGTTGCATTTAAAGGAATCTGATTGTATTACACAATATTTACCAAAACGAGAATAAGATTTTGCCTTATTTAATTTTAAAATTGAATCACTTCAGAATGTTAACGTTAAGCTTTCCTGACGAAGCGTACGACTTGGTCGAGCAAGAAAGTTACTTTTTCTTTCAATGTTACTTCTCTTATTTTAATCTTTGCTAATCTTTTAACTTTCCAAGTTTCTGCACAGCGTTCCAAGTTTCAGGTTCAACAATAAAAGCTTGCCCTAATATTGTAGTTCATAACAAACGATCAGCATTAATTCGAACTTCAATATCCGCCGTAACACAAAAACCTTAATACGTAATTAACGTTATAATAAGCAAAGCAAGTCAGCACTCTCTATTCCGAACCGTCCATTCCTATATATAAAAATATCAAAAGTTTATTCACTATGTTGCTAACCCGAACTTTATAATAAAATTTGCAAATGTTCTGAAGCCTTGCGTTCGGTATTTACAGAGATTTATATCAAGGTTCGGATTTGGGAGAGTTGACTGTACTCCCAATAAAATATATGTTGTGCCTGAAGTTGTCTGAGGTTGCAACTTTAGGCGGCTGAAGTTTACTTGAATGAAATTAGTCATCTTGCACATTAGTTAGCAATTTTAGGCAAGTGTAACTTCAGGTGACTAAAGTTGCAACATTAATCGACAATTAAATTTCGTGGCTGGCACCCTTATTATAATCGGAAGATAAACAGAAAATTACGTTCTTTCGTGAGAATACAGAAATCAAATTAACGTGGTACAAAATTAGGATGCATTTTTTTTTTTTAATGCTTTCAATTATACGTATGCTAAATGACGATTAGATAGGTCATGCCAACTTTGAACCAAAAATGCCTATTTTTGGCCAAATTCGAAATGTTATTGAATTTTTCTTAATTTTCCTTCTTTAGAATCCTCTGATCTATTTCCGAATTGCTCGGAGTCCTGTTATTGATATTCTTGTTTGTATGCACAGTAGAATAGATAAACATTAAAATAAGTAATGTAGCAATGTCGTACGAAAGTTGATATAAACTGATTGACTCATTTCAACATTTAAATTAATCTTTATTTTTTCGAACATGCACGGGAGTTGGATTAATAACAAAATCAAAGAAAAACAAATTACTGAATATAAATTTGATGACTTTAAAAAGTTTAAAAAGATTGGTAGTGGGGCTTATAGCAGTGTTTTTAAGGCAATAATTAGTAATGAAAATACCGAGGAAATATATGCATTAAAAGTTTTTGAGAATAGCACACTTATTAGCAAAGAAATTGAGAATGAAGTAAGCAATATTATATAAGATTTTCAAATACTAGATCTTCACAAGTCACATACTAATATCTACAATATACAGCTAGAGAATTTGCTTTCTGTGGAATGTCATCAGAATATAATTAAATTTTATGGCGTTACTAAATACGAAGGTAACCATTATCTGTTTCCATGAATTATTAAAAAAATTTTTTACTTGATAATTTTCATTATGTAAAATAGATCGTATGGATGAAGATAACGTCAAATATGCATTTGTACTTGAGCATGCGGATGGTGGCACTTTACGCGATTATTTAAACAAGAATACATCTAACATTGAATGGGAATTAAAAATTCAATTTGCAATTCAACTCGTGGGTAAGTTACAAACTGTCAAACATCTTTAAAAATATAAAATGAATGAACTAACTCAAATAGTATCATTGACTTTAAATTTCGAATATTAAAAGACGCTGTTAAATGGTTGCATGTTTCTAATGTTGTTCACGGTGATCTGGTAAATAAGACTCCTTTAATTCACATAATCATTATATAGTTTTGAATACTAATAAGATTGTTTTTATTCTCATATTACAATTTAAGCATTCTAATAATATACTTGTTCACCAAGAATCGTTAAAATTGGCTGATTTTGGATTATCACAGCGTATTGATGAATCAACTAACTCTCAAACTACAAATAAAATTTTTGGAATAGTCCCATATATCGATCCTGAGTGTTTTTTGCTAAAGGAAGGTCAAGATGGAAAGTCTCGTAGACGGAAAATAAATAAGAAATCAGACGTTTATAGTGTTGGAGTTCTCTTATGGGAAATATCAAGTGAAAGACAACCTTTTAAAAATTATGAACCGGCAACTCTCCCAGCAAAAATATTAAGCGGTCTGAGAGAAGAACCAATTCATGGTGTACCAGAAAGATATATTTCCATTTATGAAAGTAGGTTTATAATTTAAACATTTACAGCCTTATATTATATGTCCTCATTCAAATTCTCTTTTAATTTAGAATGTTGGCAGAGTAAGCAAAGTGATCGACCATCTATTAATGAAGTATATATTGGATTAAACAATATTAATGCTTCTTATCAAGATATTCTATTTACCAAACTTGATACATTGGAATTTAGAAAATACATTGAAACTATTTTTAATGTATCTTCAGAAATTTCAGAACCCATAAAATTTAATGATAATAATGATAATGAACAAGACCCCAAGATTATCTTTTTAGATAAACTTTATCTAACTTTTTATGATAAATTTAACAAAGGACTATCGGTTCCTAGTACGATTAAAAATTACATATCTGAGAATGGCGAAACTGAGGATAATATTTTAAAATGGTTATATCTTAACAAAAATGAGCCAAAATATATTTGCCTTCGTGGGATATTTTATATGTGGGGTATTGGTACAAAAGAAGGAAAAGAAAGTTCTATGAATGTTCTTAGTCTATTCCTTGATGCAGCGAATAGAAACGATGTCGTTGCTCAATACTTTGCTGGAAGATGTTACGAAGTTGGCTGGGACGCCAAGAAAAATATGAGAGAGGCAATTAAATGGTATCACAAAGCAACTAAAAATGGATGTGCTGCAGCAGAACGAATTCTTGGAGATTATTGTTATAAATGTCAAGAATATTCCAAAGCATTTACATTACTTCAAAGCGCAGTTGGTAAGGGAAACATAATGGCAATGCACAACTTGGGATTATGCTACAAATTTGGCCATGGGGTAAAAATCGACACTTCACAAGGATTTACATTACTTAAACAAGCTGCTGATAAAGGAGTACCAAATTCATCATACGAACTTGCCCGATGTTACGAATTTGGCAAAGGAACAGTAGAAAACTTCAGTGAAGCACTTAATTGGTATCAAAAAGCTACAGATGATGGTAAGAATTGCCATGACGAACGAGAACGTGTCATGGTTAAAATCAGGATGGAGCAATCCAGGGTATACCTTGCATCTGAAAGGAGGTCTATCCGAAACTAGTTTCGGTAAGTCTTAATCTGATTTTTTTCTAGAAAAAAAAAAACGAAACTACGAAACCATAATTTGAAACTTCTAAAATTTATAGTATATATATTGTATTTTTATTTTAACGCTCACAGGAGGTGAAATATGATAATTAAAAACATATAGTGATGCTTTTCATCTCTGGCAAATGCTAACTAACGTTCTTTGATTTTTACATATTGTTGGCATAAATACGTATCAAATCTAATAAACCTATTAAATATATAATATTATTAACATTTATCCAATAGTCTACTAACAATCCAACGTACATTATTGAAATGTTGCACTACGCTAGAGCTAAAAGAGCATATTGGATCTTTGCTATTTTAGAAAAAAAATCCATAGCAAAGACCCCAATACGTAGTACTGTACGGAACGCAATTTAGGCAGATATGTAAAAATTATGATGGTACGTAGTAGTGATGCAGGTATTTTATGTCACGGCACGTCGCAACATGCGAATGCACCGTATTATTATGATCATACTGTAACTTTATGCGGCGGCTTAACTTAGTTTTTTATACGCATGTTGTAACTCGTGATATGCTTACTTGTGATATGCTATCTCTTAAACTGTTTGAAAATGCAGGGCAAATTTGCCCTGAATTTAACTATAAAAATACTATTGATCTATTTTTTAAAAAAATTAATATATTTAATTGAATTTTTTTTTTAAAAAAATTAAAAAATAAGAATTATATTTTTGTAAAATTTATATTAAATTATAAAATAAAAAATTTAATTTACTAATAAGCTAAAAATATACAAAATTTTAAAAAAATTTAATTAAAAAAAATTTACAAATTTTTGATAAACTCTTTAAATATTAATTTTAGATCTATAGTTTTTTTAATAAAAATTATAATTTAGATGATAACATATAAAATTTTAAGAAAAATTCTATAATAAAGCTAATTACCCTCAAGTTTTTTAATAAATTTAAATTTTTTTCTTAATAAAGTTATTAGAATATATGAGGCCTTTGCAGTAGAAAGGGCCCAAACTCCCCTAAAAATCAAAACTGAGTTTTTTTAATATTCGGATTAATCTTGAGACGGATAATAAAAAATTGAGATATTTTAAAGAAATAATCTACTTGTCGCCGGCGGTGACAGTACCGGATTTTATTTAGAGTTATATTTAGAGTTAGAAAGGGTCATAATATATGGTAA